CCCGTTCAAATTACACCAGAGTTACCGACCGCTACCGCGTTTTATTCGGGAATTTAATCCCGTGGCGCAAAAAATCCGGTCGGTTCCCGCAGGAGAGCCGTGGGAATGCAGACCTCTAGCACAAACCATTAGGAATAAAAATGGCAAATTTAACTATTTGGTTACAGTAAATTAGTTAAGCATGTGCTATTATGATTATTACTTTAGTAGCATTACACACTTGTTCGGAAAGTTTTGTGCTTTTTTATCTCTGGATTTTTTTCACACCATTGTGCTTTAAACTACAAAACAAGTGCTTTACATCTTCTTTACATTCCAAATTATGATTCCAGAATCAGATGTGTGTTAGGATCTTTTAATTATAGGAAGATATTATGTTAGTTTTATATTGCTTTAGATTTATGAACTAATGACATATGAAGAGTGAACTCAAAAATAAATTGGGTAGACGTTATTTTTATTCGACTAGGAATGGGTTAGACATTTTATGTCATTATTTGAGTGTACAACGTGATTAGATGAAGAATATTTTTATAAAATCGTCCCCTAGGAATTATAAGGTTCTATCTGACATTTTTGTCGTAATTGAGTTATTCACATATTCTTATTCTGTGACAACTTATTTACATTATGTGATAGATTTTGTAATGTTGTGTACATTTTGGGACTTTTTATTTAAAAAAACGAAAAGGTTCTATCTACACAGTCGATTGGAATGCAAAAACTTTGAAGCTCAGTATCTCAAAACGACTCGGAATGCAGATAGAACCTTATAATTCCAAGGGGACGAAATGTTGTGTTGTCGTTTAGTACATCAGGACCATCATCACATTGTACTTTGTCACCGTTGTTTGTCTTTGACATTCCCTCTGCCCGTGTTCAGCGACTGGTTCCAGGTTTGCGTGACGCATCTAGACACGTTTGGACCCGCAGAACTCTGGGAAGCCTGATCGTAGAGCAGCACTTTGAGGTTGTGTGTGAATGCAGGCAGGAATATGGTTGCGTGCTGTGCTGCTACAGTGTGGATACTCAGAAGCACTTGTTTGTAGATGGTGTTTATGGATGCTTTACGGGGTTTAAGACTGAAGATTAATGTTGAAACATTGTGGTCATTTTAACGTTTGCTGATATTAGTTACAAAAGCATGACCTGCTCTTTGGCAAAGGGAAGTGAGGGTCATTTACCATCTGTGCACATTTTATTCATTTTGTTTTTACTTGTATGTTTATTGGATATTTGATTATTAAATGTTCCTCTGTACATAATGCAATATTTACAGCAAATTCCAAATACTGCAAATAAAGTTGATTTTTCTATTTAAATTGGATATTCATATATTTTTTCTAAACTTCAATTTAATTTTTTTTTTTTCTACTGTTACTATAGCAAAGCTTAAAGTTTAAGAAGACATTTTTCTGAAAGGATGCAATAAATTATTAAAAAGTGACCGCAAAGACATATATAATGTTACAAAAGATTTCTATTTCAAATAAATGCTGTTCTTTTTAACTTTCTGTTCAACGTTCTATTCAAAATGTATTATTATTTCTACAGAAATATGAAGCAGCGCAATTGTCTTCAACATTGATGATAATAATAAGAAATGCTTCTTAAAGGAACACTCCACTATTTTTGAAAATAGGCTCATTTTCCAACTCCCCTAGAGTTAAACAGTTGAGTTTTACCGTTTTCGAATCCATTCTCTTCTTTACATTCCAAATTATGATTCCAGAATCAGATGTGTGTTAGGATCTTTTAATTATAGGAAGATATTATGTTAGTTTTATATTGCTTTAGATTTATGAACTAATGACATATGAAGAGTGAACTCAAAAATAAATTGGGTAGACGTTATTTTTATTCGACTAGGAATGGGTTAGACATTTTATGTCATTATTTGAGTGTACAACGTGATTAGATGAAGAATATTTTTATAAAATCGTCCCCTAGGAATTATAAGGTTCTATCTGACATTTTTGTCAAAATTGAGTTATTCACATATTCTTATTCTGTGACAACTTATTTACATTATGTGATAGATTTTGTAATGTTGTGTACATTTTGGGACTTTTTATTTAAAAAAACGAAAAGGTTCTATCTACACAGTCGATTGGAATGCAAAAACTTTGAAGCTCAGTATCTCAAAACGACTCGGAATGCAGATAGAACCTTATAATTCCAAGGGGACGAAATGTTGTGTTGTCGTTTAGTACATCAGGACCATTATCACATTGTACTTTGTCACCGTTGTTTGTCTTTGACATTCCCTCTGCCCGTGTTCAGCGACTGGTTCCAGGTTTGCGTGACGCATCTAGACACGTTTGGACCCGCAGAACTCTGGGAAGCCTGATCGTAGAGCAGCACTTTGAGGTTGTGTGTGAATGCAGGCAGGAATATGGTTGCGTGCTGTGCTGCTACAGTGTGGATACTCAGAAGCACTTGTTTGTAGATGGTGTTTATGGATGCTTTACGGGGTTTAAGACTGAAGATTAATGTTGAAACATTGTGGTCATTTTAACGTTTGCTGATATTAGTTACAAAAGCATGACCTGCTCTTTGGCAAAGGGAAGTGAGGGTCATTTACCATCTGTGCACATTTTATTCATTTTGTTTTTACTTGTATGTTTATTGGATATTTGATTATTAAATGTTCCTCTGTACATAATGCAATATTTACAGCAAATTCCAAATACTGCAAATAAAGTTGATTTTTCTATTTAAATTGGATATTCATATATTTTTTCTAAACTTCAATTTAATTTTTTTTTTTTCTACTGTTACTATAGCAAAGCTTAAAGTTTAAGAAGACATTTTTCTGAAAGGATGCAATAAATTATTAAAAAGTGACCGCAAAGACATATATAATGTTACAAAAGATTTCTATTTCAAATAAATGCTGTTCTTTTTAACTTTCTGTTCAACGTTCTATTCAAAATGTATTATTATTTCTACAGAAATATGAAGCAGCGCAATTGTCTTCAACATTGATGATAATAATAAGAAATGCTTCTTAAAGGAACACTCCACTATTTTTGAAAATAGGCTCATTTTCCAACTCCCCTAGAGTTAAACAGTTGAGTTTTACCGTTTTCGAATCCATTCAGCCGATCTCCGGGTCTGCCGGTAGCACTTTTAGCTTAGCTTAGCATAGATCATTGAATCTGATTAGACCGTTAGCATCTTGCTCAAAAATGACCAAAGAGTTTCTATATTTTTCCTATTTAAAACATGACTCTTCTGTAGTTACATCGTGTACTAAGACACGAAAATGAAAAGAAAATGAAAAGTTGTGATTTTTCTAGGCCGATATGTCTAGGAACTATACTCTCATTCCGGCGTAATAATCAAGGAACTTTG